CCCCAAAACCCCAAAACCCCAAAACCCCAAAACCCCGCGTTCTAAAGGCATTGATCTTTGTGACGAAAAAGTATTAATAAAATATAGTCATTGATATAAAAATAAAGCGAAATAATCTTTTGTTTAAATAGATATGGAGGAATCAAGAAATTCACATGGTTTTGCGAATACAGTATTATATTTTTTACCTCAAACTCATTTTAATCTCATACAGGCTGGTTTAATAAACTCTTTGGGTTCTAACGGGGAAGAAGATGGAGATAAATTGTCACCAAGAAGTCTTGAGCATCTCAATAACATCAAGAGCGGAATATCATAACTTGTCGATGATTTCTCATCGCCTTAACAAGATGATAAATAGATTCAAGAGCAAATGCAGAATATTAATATTGGAGGCAGACTTCAATATAATATGTCAGGTGATCCGAATTTCAATAAAGGTAGGAAATTCCCAAATTATTTTACCCAATATCTTATTTAGACCAAATAAATTAATCAGCATATTAAATTTCAGGAGGAGATATCTCGGGAGGAACGCCGTTCTTTCCCTCTTATAACCTTGAGAATCAAGAAAAGTTATAAGGAATGGTATTAGGAGTAGGAGATTTCCAGAATCCTGTGAATTTTAACAGAAATAATTTGTCTAGACATTCATCAGATGGAGATGGACTAATGAACTCGAACAAGGCAAAATTAGATTACTCGTAAATTGCAGTATTCGAGGGTCCTCTGTCTGGTAACAAGCATGACGAAAATTGTAAGATATAGATTCCCTTTATCTAATGTTTTTAGACTCAAGCAAGTCCTGGATCGATTCTAGCTCAGATTACTAGGAATAGATTGAGAAATATGGATATATCTTTTAGAGTCCAGATCTCAATGCTTAGAGAAATATAATAAACATGAAGCATCAATAATAGTAGCATCAACTCTAATTGAATTAACAATAATTTTAAGGAATGAACTATTACCACAATGGAATTCAGTAGAATTGGGAAGGCTATCATCAAAATAATGTCAAGCCAAACCATAATTTCTAAAACAGAGCAAACTCTTTTGATAAACTTGCTTAGTAAAATCAGATTCAACACCCATTTGGATACAGTGAAGAACTAGAAACACATTCAGCCGCCTCAAGTGGCAATCAATCAGCATTTTCTGAAGGAGATATTTACAATTAGAACCAAGTGAATCCCCAGTATTATGCACAATACTAAGGCTATGCAGGTTAAACTGGAGCTCAGAGTAATTAAGCTTAATATGGCTTCACACCTAATATACAGTTTACAAATTCTAATCAAAAATATCATCCTAATGGAAATCCAGGCTTTACTATCCCATTTTAGCCTGATGGAAGTTATTTCTAAAATCATGAATTAAATGATGATCTCACTCCAAATGGAGGCCATATAAATGGTGGAGACATTTAAATTACAGATTTAGACGTTAACTTATAGAAATTCTAAATAGGAGTATCTCCAAGAAGAAATAGTAACGAATTCATTCCTACAAAAAAACTATTAGCAAGTGGACCAAACAATAATTTGAACTATGATTAACTTGAAAAAAGCAATTCATAAATGCATAATCAATACAAAACTCCCTCACCATATAGGAACAATGACCCTGCAAACCAATATGCTCAACAAGCATTCATGATGAATCAAAATATGAATTAGCAAAAAAATATTAGAATTGGTGCCCCTCAATTATCAGATCCCTTTTATCCCTCATATGGTTTCTAAAACCAAAGAATGTCAAACCCTTAAGGTGTATATCCTGGTAAACCAATATACCCTACTCAAAGAACCTCGAATATTGACTAATACACTGGAAACTAGCATATTGGAATGAATGCACCTCCCATGACCAGAAATCTGTAATTCGCTCCTTAAGAATCTCACATTCATCATGGCGGCCCAATGATTGCAATTTAGACAAATATGCATTAAGGCTATCATCATGGGATGCCATTTTAAAATTTTAGCATGACACCAAATTATCATCCTCCTTTAAGAAATCAATATGGGAATAAAACAGCAGGTTCATAAGAAAGAGATCCTTCCTATCAGCCACCAAATTTCGTTCCAAACTAGCACAACATATAGCCAAAAACTGTTGTTAATACTCCCACTCATAATAATAGCCTTGATCATGCCAAATCAGTCTCCTCTTAGAATAGCAACAATTCATAACAATTCAGTGCAGCTGTAAATGATCAAAATGAGGCATTCTTGTTTTAACTTACTAAGTAGTATGATGAATGCCAAAATCCATAGTAAAAACTAGATATTATTAAAGGCAACGTTCATAAATTAGCGTTGACTTAAAAAGGAAGTAGATTCCTCCAAAAGCAAGTTACTAAAGCAAACTCCAGTATTGTAGCATTTTTCTTAGATGAAATCAGCCCACATCTATGTGAGCTCATGATAGATAACTATGGTAACTACTTTTGCTAATCCTTACTCTCATCTTGCTCTGGGGATCAGCGGTTATCAATTTTGAGAAGCATATCTCCTAAATTTATTGAGATTTGCTGTGACAGAAAAGGTACTCACACTATATAAACGATGTTTGAACTTGTAAACCTACCAGAGGAGGAAGACTTCATAAGAGATGCCTTAATGGGAAATGTTATTAAACTCTCAAAGGACGCTCAAGGTACTCATGTAATCCAGAAAGTCATGGCTAGTTTTCCAGAGGCTAAAAGAGCATTCATTTTTGAAGAAGTTTTCGATCAATTCATAGACTTAGCAAAAGTAAGCATTTAGTAGTTAATATAATTTAGAATACAAATGGACTCTGTGTAGTTAAGAAATTAGTATAGTATACCAAGCACAGTGATTAGGCAGAGGTACTCATGAAGAAGATCCAAGAAAATGCAATAGATCTTGTATAAGATCCATTTGGCAATTACGCTGTCACAGAAGTCATTATTGTAATCGCTCATATTTATATAACATATAGAAATGGGATCCAGAGGTATGCAGACCTATATATGATACTCTAAGACAGAGAATCAGCTAGCTCAGCAGCCAAAAGTTCTCATCCAATGTGATAGAGAAATGCCTTGAAAAAGCTGATGATTTCATGAGGTCAGCTTTTATTCAAGAGCTTAGCTTCTCCGACAGACTAACAAGTATCTTTTAAATATAATAATTCTAATTAAGGTTTGATCAGAAATCAATATGGCAACTATGTTATCCAAAAAGCTCTGAAACTGGCTCAAGGGGGAGACAAGGAAACCCTAATTGGCTAAATACAAAAATGCATCCCAGAAATCACTGATAAAAAAATCAGAGAGAAGTGGGAGAAAATAATTTATGATGCCTAAAATGGAACTAATACTGCTAACCAGTCTAATGTCAATGACAATACTAGCACTGGTAGCTACCATTAAGACCATGAGGGAGGCAGTAACCTCAATGCCAATGCGAGCAATGGAAACAACAGCCACAGACAAGTGACTGTGGGAAACAGGAGAGCTAATAGCAGCGACAATGCTGCTAATTGAAAATTAACTTATTATACTTAGAGAGATTGTACCAAACTAAATAAATGAAACTTATTATTTAAAAATATTCAATAGCTTTATCTTTTATATAAAGTTAAATTATATTAAAATAAATAATTCACAATTTTATATTTATTCTCACAAACTATTGAATCTATTCATAGATTAAGTTAAATTGGATTTTCTAAGTATTTGATTGGATATTTCTCCAAACTTTTTTCTCTTTCTAGCTAGTTAATTCTTCTTTGCTTGATCTATTCAATTAATTTCATATCTATGTTCTTTTATGACGCACTTGCCATCAAAGCTGAGATGTTTTGTTGAATTATAGATGTCTTAGAATCTTAATTGATATTATCCTCTAAGTATTTCTCAAAAGAAATATCATTCTCTGGAACTTAAGTTAAGATTTTATGAGATTATTCTTTATGTTATTTAAAGATCTAATTATTTGGAGATGCTGATTATTTTTGATTTATTCCTGCTTAATCTTTCGTTGCATGTCTTTGAAGTATATGGTTGATAATATTGCTGCCAGCAGGGATATATTGTTGATATCTATGTGCAGATATTGGAGATTTTGAAATTGATTTCTATCTTTAATTAATAGGTGATTTGCTTTAATCTCTTGTATTTTCTTAATTTTTTCTTGTCCTTTTTACACTCTTTTCTATATTATCTACCTTTGTCTTGGCAAAAGAAACATCTCTAGCTGTTTTTAATAATTAAGATTTATTTGTTTATTAATCTTCTTTATTTAAGAGTTACGATCTATCCTTTCTCATCAAAAGATTTCTACTGCTGGATTTTTGAAGTGCCTCCGTCTACTCTGCGATTTTGTGTAATTATTCAGAAGGGACTGGTATTTTCGAATTTTCAACATTTGGATTTGTCTGAGTTCGTCCAATAACCTGATTTCTGCTAATAGGTGTCCTGCTTAAGCTGCTTTCTGGCCTCTTTTAATCTAATTAAGTCTCTGCTCTGCTTTTAAATTAACTCAGTATTTTGTCATCGTCTATCCTCCTTGAAGTGTATTGATCCTCAACAGTATCTATACCAAAGATATCATTATGCTATTTTTCAATAGCCTGAACATCGAAATAGTTTGTAATGATCCCATAAACAAAGTTAATTAGTGATTGCATTGTTTTATTAGTGCCTGCATGCTTGAATATCTTTAAATTTTCCCCAGTAAAGTATTGATCTATTATAGATTTAAACTTTCCTTCAAGGAGCTTTATAGTTTAATGAGGTACTTGCTCTGGGGAGAGAACTCTCTATTTTATGATCTATAGGAGTTCATTGTTTTGCTTAATAACAAAATTATTAATGAATTTAACTATTTCTTCCCATTCTATGAAATCGTCCATATGCACTTGCTTACTGTTATTCTAATGACTATCTTTGAAATTGATAAAGAATTAGCAGACAAGTCTTCCAGTCATATAGGCAAGTTATGAAGGTTTCTTAATTCTTTCAAATTCAGTCAGGCATTTAATATTCATTTAAGAAAAAAGGCTACCCAGTTACTATTTCTTTTGATCAATACTTTTCTTATATAAAGCCTATTTCTATCTCTCTTCTTCACTTAACTGTATAATGGAGTCATTTTAAACCCCCAGATTTTGATATTGTGAATTTTTTATAAAAGACAAGGCTTAGTTTCTATTTGAGCGAGGTGTCTTGTTGCTTGTAGTGGACACTTCCTCCTCTATAATCTTACTAGAAGAGATTTGAAGGAAGCTCTTTTAAGCTAGATTTTACCTCTAAGATATTTTGGATCCGCTGAATTAACTCAAATCTTTAAGTGACTCGGAAGTTTCATTATTTATTATGCAATTAGAAGAAACAGACCTGTTCAGAGCTTGTTGATTTTGGTGAAACTATCTGACATTTCCAAGATTTCGCATTATTTATTATTATTACAAGTGCTCTTATCTTTCATGCTAATATTTTAGAGAATGTTGCATCTTTAAATGAGTCTCATACTTTCTTTAACCATTCTTTGATGGTGACCTATTTTGACTTAAAGCACCTCCTCTTTAGGAAAAATCCTTGTTAGTTGAATATGATGACTAATTTGGAGATTTCCTTGCAAGACTCTCTCTTTGCTTGTGTTGAAATGAAAATTAATCTCCCTTAAAATTAATCTCGTTAACAGTGTGCAATTTTTATTCGGCTAGAGTATTCCTTGATTTTTATTTGGCAAGAATTATTTCTTGGGAAATGAATCCTCTCTCTTACTATTTTTACTATATTTGCTGACTGTGAGGTATTTATAATAGTGCATCATCTATAATCTCATCTCTAATTGGAGATTCAGGCTGATGAGAGTAAGGTTGAGGTACAATTACTCTTGGTTGTTGATTTTAAAGGTCTGTAAGTAGTTGACTATTCTCATTTAGATGAGATATTATTGCAGCATTACTTTTGTTCTTGAGTTGACTCATGATCTACTGAACTAATGGGTTATAGTTTTCTGATTAAATTGTATTCTGTCTTTATGATTATTACAAAGGTAAAACTTCAGGTTTTTATTTCTACTACTTAGAATTCTAGGAGTTGTTGAGTTTCTTTTCATCATACTTATTAGCATTCTATTCAAACTATCTAAGAAGCTTTGATGGTGATGTGGATTATTAATATGCCCTGCTAGAAAACTTACTTGGAGGTGTAAAAATTATTTCTAATTATTATGGGTCAATGTTCTAATCATCACAAGGATTATTTTGGCTGATTTGAGATCTTGATTAACTTTATTGAAGTGCCTTAGAAATAAATTATTCCACTTACTCGTTTTTTAGCTCATTTTACCTCAGAGAAATATTGATCAAATCATACAAGTCTGCATTTTTTATCATTTCTATGACCTTCTATGTATCAATCTTTTCTGGCAGGCAATTTTGATTGCTAAATAAATCTACGGGCTTCTCTTTTTTAGACGACTAGTTAACTTGGTAATCTGTTCCAGGACTTGTAAATTGCTGCTATTATTAGAAAGGAGATCTTGCTAGTTGATTTTATCTTATTTCTTTTGATGACATTTTTAGATCTTATGATTAAGTTCAAAATCTAACGTTAACAAATTTATCAAATAATTACTAATTTTATCAGTATATTTAAGTTAAAATCAATATCAAGTTAAAAAATTAAGATTCAAGGGGGTTGAAGTTGGATTTTATTAGTTGATAAACTTGAAACACCATCCGAAACGCTCATCTAGCTATGAATCTTCCTTTCTTTATCATCTTCATTTGCTTTTTAGTTCTTTAATTCATATTCTAAAACCTTCAACTTCGTCATCTTTAACTTGATTTCACCTTGTAATGAAGATAATTCCTTTTATGTTTAAGTCAAATCTTCATCTTTTTTCTTGAGTTCTTCTATAAGCTCATCCTCTCTCCTTTCATATCTAATCACTTCTTATCTTAATCTCTCATTAAAATCTTTTTATAGTTCCTCATACAAATAGTTCACCTTGAAATGCTTAGATTGAAGCTCCTCAAATTCCTTTTTCAAATCTTCGTTTATTGAGTTATTTGCTCTCATATAGGCTTCAAACTTATCTTAGAGTAGATCATAGTCATTTTTTAGATTTTCATTTGACTCTCTACTAAACTTAAGCTATGCAACCAGTCTCGATTCGTTTGCATCCCACTCTTTTTTCTTGAATTCATAGTCATTACTTAAGGTTTAGAATTTCATCTTAAGCTATTCATCTGAGACAACCAATCCTCCACCATAGATCATTTTCTTATTTTACTCTAATAGCTCATTATTTTCATTCCTAAAATTTTAAATTGTCTACTCGAGATGAGCAATCTGCTACTTGAAACCGATTTCATCCTCTTTATATCTGCCTATTTACTCGTTTCTAATTTGCAAGACTCTCTAAGTATTGCTTAACTCTTCTCTGTAATTGTTCATTTTGTCTTCATTATTTACAATAAGGTCTCTATAGTCTGCATTCTGTTTCAGATTCTTTACGTTCTCATCTGTCAAGAGTTCATGCCTAATTTTTAACTCTTTGAGCTCCTTGAGATGCCCTCTGATTTCTTAATCTTAACGATCTAATTCTTTAATATATGCTTACTTCTCAGTTTGCATCACTTGCATATCAAACTCTAACTTCAACATTTTATCGTTCTTCAACTAAATAGCCATATGAAGAGATTCTAGTTCAACCTAAGAATTCTCTTATTCCATTATTAGCTCTTTTATCTTTTGCTATTCTTTAAAAAGTAGTTCAGAGTCTTTTTTAAATTTATCAAGTTAGACCTTCATTGATTCATTAATTGCTTGAAGTTCTTAATTCTCACTCACTAAGAACTTATTTCTCGTTCTTGTTTCATACAGGTCTCTTTAGTTATCTTTGTATATTCCTGTCAAATAGTCAATATTGTTTTTTATTGCCAGTAATAGCTTTGATTTTTTATTCAGTTTATCTTATTAATATTTTATTGTTTACTTCATTTATTAAACTAACTCTGGATCTCGGAGTGCCATGTTAATCAAAGAATTATCAAAGCTTACAGTCTCTGATATTTCCGCTTTTTGTTTAAAAAGCTGCTTTTACTTTGATTAGTTATTTTCCATTAATTGCAAAACTTTTAATTTGGAATTATTCTGCATTAGGGGTTTTGGGGTTTTGGGGTTTTGGGG